TACCGAGGTTACCTCGGATATAGTTTTACACATTTTAGACAGATAGAACCTTGATAGAAAACTGGATAGATAGAAACTTGATAGAAAGCAACATAGATAGAAGGCAACATAGATAGAAAATAGTACTCGATTACAACACAGTATTGGACTTAGAAATAAACCAGCACATTTTCAAACCTAGACACTTAGATTTTTTCCCGAAGTATCGGGTGGTCCTTCGAGCGTTAGAACATTAGCTTTCGTTGGCACAAGCGTGCATAACGCCTACAAAGCTCGACTATCGTTACGGTGGACACGAGCAATTAACAATAATAATAACAACATTAATACTATGTAATACATTCATTCCTCTATTCACGTATAAAACGGACGCATTTTTGCACTGCATTATTGCAATCAGTCGTCTTTTACCTTGAACCTTCCGACCATCACCGAACATTTGCGAACATTACCGGATATTTCCTAACTTTCAGCAGTTGACTTACAGACAATTAAGAAACGTAAAGCGTAAAATCAAATATAAAATCTATAAATGTACAGGTATCGTTCAGACGCCTTATATTCTAAGCATATATTTCTATTGTACCAATTATCGACCTTTGAGTCGTACATACATTTGTACGTTTGATAAATATCCATAACTATAGTACGATCATAGAATGATGCGACCTCACAACGTATATTTTAACAATAGATTTAAGAAACCTTTCAAAACGAATTTCAGATTTTTAAATTTCGAAAATTATTAAGAGGCTTCTGTCAAACTGTTCACGCGCGATGGGTAAAATATAAACTGTTTACAGTTATTTACGAAGGTTGTAAATCTTCGTCGACCCATGGCGTTTCCAGAACCTGTTACAGTAGTGGAATATTTCTAAAGTTAATATTATGAAGTAGAATTTTATTGTAAAGTAGAGTTTATATAGTGGCTCAGAGTCCTCCACACTGGTGTGCCCAGGTCAATGAAGGATGTAGATCATCATCCCACTAGTTATAATGGTTGTTGTGTCTTGTTGTAGTTGATAGTTACAAAGTTAATCTAAGACTGACTAGTTGCCTCTAAACAGCCAGAAAAGAAAGCACAGGAAGAAGTTCAGGACGTGAAGGCGTTGCCAAAAGGGACCAATCCGGACAGATTGTTATTTGTAAAAGACAGTGATTGGTGAGATGATTCGACGAATGAGGTTGTAAGATTTTAGCCTTCACTCCAGGGTTGTAAATAACGTTTCGTTAATAAGGTGACCCAAACAGTTAAGTGATTTGGGTCCTTCAAAAGAACTAAGTAATGGAACACATTGTGAGACTGCTGAATGACCGAGTCAGAGTGCCTGGTCCGCCGAGTACGCAAGGATTTTCGTAAACACTGCACACAGCAAGGGTGCACAGTTTAGGACTATGGACATAAACTTCTTTAAGGAAAGATATATTGGCGTTATAAAGATGTGCTTTTCTGGCCTGTTAAAAGGCTATTGTCAATATTTAAGAATGTCAAGCTGTAGAGACATCCATGTGGTCTTGAAGATCCGTTTGAAATTGCAAGAGTAAAGGTTTGACAAAACACCCATAAATATTACGCTAATTATATTCCGAGTGACTCGTAACACAAACTATAAATTAACTTTCTTAGAGATAAAGAATTAATTTACGTATTTGCATTACGTATAGTTTTAATTTAAATATAGGTGGTAGGTAAATTGTGTGTTAAAAACTAACAAATACTTCTTTTAAAAATGAAGAAAATACTCTGCGTACACGGTGTAAAGTTTAGAAACGTTTTGTCCCCAAAGGATTAATAAAACCTATTTCGAGATGAAGTTTTAAAAATTTTTGCAAGAAAGTTTAAAAAACAAAGGTTCTGAATACGTGTCCAAGGTTAAAATGTTTTCTCTGTTCGCATGGCGAAACTTTTTCAATTTTCGTGTCCTCGTTGCAGCGACTTCACCGTTCGCCTTCCTGTCTGTTTACAGAATTCTTACGGCACGCGGCTTGCATGCAAAAGGTGCAGCCCGAGTACGAGCTTTGCTACAAGAAATATCACAGAACCACACAGGAGATTGAAAGAAGGAATCACACAGCGAGCTTGAACGGATCCCTCAAGGCTCTTTGCTGGTGAGTGAAAATTATGATCCCTCAAGGGTTTACCTTTCATCCCTTAAACGAGTCATTTCTTGCTTGAAAACGCTTTCTGTACATACCGCATTATTGAGGAAGGAACTGTTACCGTTCGTATTCGTTTTTTTTTTCTTGCGCAGTAAGCATGATTTACTTGTAAATTTGTAAATGAATTGATTTACCTTAAAAGAAAAAATGAAAAAGTTCCTCCGGAAAACATATTTTCCAATCCTTTGATGTACGAAAATTATGTTCTATTTGAATTCGACGTGCTCTTTTTTATTTGCGAAAATCGTTTTCGCAGAGCCGGCAAAGTGGATCCTTTTTGAGTGTGGTTTATAGAAATTTTGTAATTTATATTTTGTAATCAAAGAACTTTGTGACTTTGGGATTTTTTAATATCGTAATTTAGGAATTTTCATAATTTAAGGATTTTGTGATTTACTATTTTTATAATTTAAGAATTTTGTACTTTAGGAATTTTTAAATTTTCGGGTTTTGTAATTTTGTATTTTAGTATTTTTATAATTTTTTAATTGAGGAATTTTCTAATATGGATTTAAAGACTTGGGGAATTGAAATCTAAATATTTGCAAATTTAAAAATTTGGGTATATGAAGATTAGAAACTTTGACAAGTCTTAATTCTAAATTAATGTGGATTATGAAAATTCTTAAATTTGCAAGCTTGACATTTTTCAACTTTTCTACCTGGAAGTCTGAAGAGTTGGTATTTCTTGAAATTGGAAATTTAATAACTAAAGAATTTTTATATGTAAAAGTTTAGATATCTAGAAATGTGAAATTTTGGCAATTTGCGAATTTAATAAATTTAAATGGTAAAATTGAAAATTTTGAAAATTTGAGATATTTTAGGTACTTGGAAGTTTAAGAATTTGAGTTTAGAGATTTTGAAATTTGATAATTTGGTTGTACGTATTTGGGAATCTCACAATTTGAAATTGATAAGACTTGGAAATTTGTGAATGAAGTCTATTCAAGTTTAATATAAGTGAAATGATAATGAAATGATGGATACATAACCATAGTTGAACGCAGTAAAATAATGCAGATAAGAGATAATGCAGACATAGTAAGTACAAACTAGTTAAATGATATGAAAAGAAAAAGTCTCTTAGCTACAAACACGCATTTTAACTCTCGAAGCGTCGCAATGGAAGTAGAACGAAGAAGTAAAGAGGAAGACAAACGCGACTTGCACAAAACTTAACAAAACTAAAGACCCTATATTCTTCGTAACGCTGCCAATCTAACATCTAAAATTCCGCCTTCCATCACGTAATATTCCAGTCTTTTACTTCACATTTCCACTTCTGTAAATCGAGTAATATGTTAATAAAAATATCATGTAATATATGTTTTGAATTCGTCTCGATGTCCTCTAAAGCTATGAATAAAAAAAAATGTATGTTCCTATTTAAAAAGTCCAAGGTGACCTTGACTTTGCCAAGAGAACAAAATGTTTTCAAAATTTGCTTTACTAATATCTATTATGCACTTCATACCCTGCAAATATTGTTCTAAACTTTTTTTCGTAAGGTGGTTGTAAGTGGGAGAAAAATCGTGAGTAGCGTTACAGGTAACACCCTGTATACTTTTCGATTAATTTTACGTTTTTCCGCCAATTTTTAACGTGTCAGAAATTAAACGTAACCTGATTTTAAAATAATAAAACCGGTGTCTATATCGTGTGGAAATTAACGGCGGATACAGACGAGACATTAACAGGAGTCAAGGTTAGTCTGCAGTTTTACTATACACATTTGACATAGGTACATTAATATTAATTACGATTTGCATACTACAACATGCGTACATTGTATACGTGATAGACAAACGTGCGTCATTACAAAGGGTCACAAAAAATATCCCGTTGTATCGGAAACGGTTGATTTTCAAGTGTGAAGAATAATGGAAAAAACAAAACAGTATTTCATTCACTCCATTTTTTATTCACATGACAGAGCAAAAAACTCTTGCTGCACATATTTAACATTGCCGGCGTATAATGCACAGTAGGCTCGACAAAATTTCGTTTCTCCTCTCACCCTCTAAAAATATTTTGTAAAATAAGTCCTATTAATATTTCAATTTCTAATTGAAATTTATAAGGTTGTTCAAAGCAATTTTCTGTAAGTATATTGATTTTTTATTATATCAATTTTTAATTGCAGTTTATAATTACAGATTGCACAAAATTAATATTAAATCTCACAAAAATATCAATCGGTTGATTTAAAAAATAATTTCGTCAATTGCGTTTATTAATCAAATAATGTGATCGTAAACTATCATTGTACCATTATTCTCTTTTCACTTTATATTTTACATTTGATTCTGGTATGGTGCAGTAGTATATTTACAAAAAAAATATATTGTGTAGTTGAGAAATAGTTATGCAAAAAAAATTATATGTTAAGGATTTTATTACGTAAAATGGACAAATACCTTTGTGGCCAACTGTACAGGGTGTCCCATTTAAGTTGACATTGTACAAAATCTCGAAGACATGTGATTTAAGAAAAACAAACTGTCACGAGGCCTTCAGTATTTCGAGTGAAGAGGCAAATGGCATTACTAATTTTTTAATGCATGGGCGTCTTCGGGGTTATTTCAAAGTCATCTTGTCTTTTCTTATCATAAACTCATATTTTTTATTCCAGAATTATATTCTACATGAAAAAATGCATGACTTTTGTTTGATACATTTTGTTGTAAGTTCAATATTACATCTGGTAGATGTACATCTTTAAGCATCATTGGAACCTTAAGAATTATTGATGACTCGTTAGGTGGAAACAAATATCGAGACTTCTTGAATCGCGAATTATCTTCATTACTTGAAGATCTAAACCTAGCAGACAGGCAAAACGTGTGGTTTCAACACGACGGTTTCCCACCTCATTATTCCCGTATTGCAAATACTACATCAGGATTTTATTGATCGTTGGATAGGTCGTGGTAGTCCAGTTTCCTGGCCAGCGAGATCACTTGATGTAACATCACCCGCTTACTTCCTATAGGGTTATCTTAAAGAAAAGGTATACTCCGATCCACTTACTACACCAGAAAACATGAAGGAGTGAATTATAACTGCGTATCATAGAATCACTAGAAGAATTTTATTATTTATTCATAAGTCATTTATTAAACGAATTAATAAATGTCTAGAAGTTGAGAGTAACAATTTCGAGAATTTATTGTAATGTTCTTAAATGAAATAAAAAATCTTCTAGAAGACAGTAACATTGTCATTTTAATAGAAAAAATAGTTTTGACACAAACATGAAAAATCAACTAGACGTTTTAAGAAAGTTTGTTGTAAGTTCAATGGTCAATGTTTTGTAAGTTCAAAAATATGGATTTATGATAAGCGGCAAGATGATATTGAAGTAACCTTGAAGACGTCCATGCATTACAAAATTAGTAATGTCATTTACCTCCCTGCTCGAAATACTAAAGAACACGTCAGTTTCTTTTTCTTAAATCACACATTTTCGAGATTTTTTACAAAGTCAACTGAAATGGGACATCCTGTTTATAACAAGGAGTGTGTTTTATTGAGTCGATATAACAAAGTATCATCACTACTTATTCTATTGAAACTGATATCAATCTTCACCGTAACTATCCTGAAGTGAACAAATTACTGTCGATTTAAACTGGCTAAACAGTGTTTCAAACTGTATAACACGCGATGTTTGTCACAACTACCCTATGATTAATTATTTCACCTTAGTGTTTTGAAATTTCTGATAATTTTACATCTATATAAAAATTTTTTCAGTTTTTCAATGTTGTGCACAAGTATAACAAGGTGCTTTGTAGATTTTATATCTATATTCTGTTCAAATGAGAATTGTTAGAACGTGAAGCTAACTTGCGAATTTGAAGTACTTATTCTTTGGAGTCCGAAAATTGTGTTACAGTCTTTTTTAACGAAATAAAGATATTTTGGACATTGGTATAAATAACTAAATTATTATTTTGGGAATATTGCACTTAATAAAATTTATATTATCTGTGTATACAATAAAATTTGTATTCTAATATTAGTAGAATTTAGATTTAGAATTGAGATATTCATTTTTCACTTATTTATATCTCTGAAATTAAAAGTGATAAAAAAATTATATGCATAAAAGTAAATTTCTTGGATTATTATCCATGATGATGTATCTTACAGTTATCAAAATTTATAAAACTGCCCTGAGTTCAAATAATTGCCTAACATACAATGTCTTATTTTATTAGTCCACAAAATTATCTGAATTACACATTATTCGAATAAATGTTTCAAATATAATTCGCTATTTTGCGAAAGACCGTCAAATCTTATAATCTGATCTTATAAGACCTTCAGATTTTATGATCTGATGTTATGATACTATCAAATCTTATAACGACTATCGGATGTATCTAGGTGAAGGAATTTTCGAGATTTCAAGGTGATGTTTACCTTCTTTCCTTTAATAGAATATGTGTTTTTGCTTAATTAGGTAGCTTATTCCGAGACAAAGTCATTGAACTATAATATGGTGATCGTTGAAAGTCATACAAGGTAATTCGTGGCCATTCAAAACTTAAATCTTTATAATGATAAAAAGTCTTAAATCTTAACATTAAATATTAACATTAAACGATAATTTAAAATCGTTAAATCAACGATTCTAAAATTGTTACATTATCATTAAATACAGAAATTGCTTTATATCTTTTATAGCGTCATCTTTTATATGACCATGAAAGAGTTCCAGGATAAAAATATAGCATATTTTTGCATAATTTATATTTCTTCATATTTTATACTTTAAAGTAAAACTATCACAAATTTGTATAAATCGATAATTGCGAGCGCCATTCATTTGAACGATAATATATATATTTCAATGACAAACAAATAAAAATATAAATATTGAGCTTTGCAAAATGAATAAAAAGATTATAGAATAAAGAAATTTACGTCTTCTTGTCGTA